AGAGAGAGGTTGCAGGCACTGACAGGAGGAAATTTAGAAATTGAAAGCATGGTACAATATCATACGGGGCAGAAGGAGCTCATGGGCCAGGTCTTGGAAAACATACAAACCTCATGTGTCCGAGAGGTGAGTCCATATTCAACTATTTAGAAGACAAATTGGAATTCAATCAAAAGTTATATTTGTTCCAAAAAAAGAGCACGGTGAAGTGCTACATGACCTAAAAGTAGTAGACTAATTCTTTTTTTCTGCTGCCATTTTTTTATTGTTTCTTTGTCCACAAATGCAGCAAATGTTAAAAAAGTAGCAGGGTTCATTATATGTATTAAATCTTCATTGACCTAGGTAGGGTAAAAACAATGGGATGCTGCAATTGATGCATTGAGAGCAAGCTTACCTAGATATAGAAAGAACAGGGAGTACACCAATGGTGTTTGTATCTTCAATTCCTCATGCTTAAGCCCTGTTGTGGGAGAAACGTATTGATCCTTGGCTTGAGGTGGGAGGTGTGCAGTGTTTGCTGGACGTCATTTTAGTCTGCTTAATAAACTAAACCAGAGTTCCAGGACGTCATTGGTGTGCACCCCATTTCTTCTATTTGTAAGTGGTTTGGAGCAGGAGCAGACATCTGGGGCTTTCTGCACCCAAAACCACAGGCCCTCTCAAGACAGAACCTGAATGAGAGGCTGGTTCATTATAACCACCTGTTTAATGAGGAAAGCTGTAGTGTCAGCATCCCTTTAGAAGTAATTAAGGTAGTATGTTACCAAAAATGAAACTTCTATGGCAGGGGATACCTAAAATTTTAGTTGCCTTTAAGCACAGACATCTCAGAAGATCAGTGAGCCAATTACACAAGCAGGAAATTACATTTCTGAATTGTACAGAATGCGTACAGGTTACCATATCCTGGGGGTCCCTAAGGAATTCCCTTAATTTGCAAGGATTTCCTCTCGCTTACTGTTTGGTTATGGGACAGGAAATTAAAGGATATCTATGTAATGGGACACAGCGGAAAAAAAATTAAACCTGACAGCGGTTATAACCCTTCCTCTCTCCAAAATGATAAAAAAAAGTTTTGCCTATAGTTCTACTTTAAATTAAAACAAATGTGCCTGAAGTTCATCTTTAATCTCAATAATTTGATTTTTCTTTTTTTTCTCTTAGGAGCCAGAAGGTGGCAGCTTAGTGGATAAAGATCATAGACATGGAGATGGAGATATAAACCAAAATGAAAGGGTGATTCCCAAAGATGTTTTTGTAGAGCTGTCGTCACAAAAACTAAATGAAAAACACTGTGCAAGCAAAGGCACTGAGCTATCAAATATACATCTGGAACCCAACACAAAGAAGAACATTACAGAGAACAAAAATGAAGACAATGTGCAACTGATTGAAAAGCAACAAGAAGAAAGCACTCTAGATGACAAGAATGCTGAGGAAATCCGGACTTTGAAGACACAGCTCAAGCTGAGTACTGTAGAGCAGGGGTCACTAAAGTTACAGCTGGAATTGCATATTGAAGAAGTGCAAAACTTAAAAACGCAACTGGAGCTGAGCACTGGAGAAGTAAAGTCATTACTGACTAGGCTAGACCAGACTAATCAAGATAAGCAATCTTTGACAACACAGCTGGAATCAAAATCAGAAGAGGTACAACTACTAAAGACACAATTGGAATCAAGTATTGGAGATATTCAGTCATTAAATGCACAGATGAAATTGAGTGCAAATGAAGTTCAATCTGCAAAGAAACAATCAGAACAAAAAGCTGAAGAACTTCTGTCATTACAGAGAGAACTTGAACAGAGTAATGAAGAGGTGCACTCACTGAAGACACAGTTGGAAATGAGTACTAGTGAGGTGCATTCACTAAAAACACAACTTGACTTCAGTACTGTAGAGTTTCAGTCATTGAAAGCACGATCTGAACTAAATGCTCAGGAGATACTATCACTGAAGACACAGCTAGAGTTAAGCACTCAAGAGGTGCAATCACTGAAGACACAGTTGGAACTAAGCACCCAGGAGGTACACTCTCTGAAAACACAGTTGGAATTAAGTTCTAGAGAGGTACAGTCTTTAGGTACCAAAATGGAACTGGGTGCACATGAGATACTAACACTTAGAAAACAGATGCAGGAGAAAGAAATAGAAAATTCTGCCCATCAGAAACATATTCAAGAGAAATCTTTAGAGAATCAGTTATTAAAGAAGCAGCTATCTGACTTGAAAGAATCAAATTCATTAAAACAGCACCTTCAAGAGAGTTCTGAGGAGATGCTCTCTTTAAAAAAACAATTAGAAGCCAGCACAAGAGATATGCAGTCTATAAAGCTGCATCTTCAAGAAAGAGATGACCACTCAGTTAAGAAGCAGTGGGAAGATACTGCAATGGAAGTTGAGTCATTAAGAAGGCATCTTGAAGAGAGAACTACAGAGTTACAAACTCTCAGAAGTAACCTGCAACAAAGAGAAGAAGTAGGACAATTGTTGAAGAAACAGTTGGAAGAGAGATCAGGAGAAATACAGCTACTTAGGAAAAACTTAGAAAATAGGGAAGAGTTAGAACAACTTGTAAAGAGACAACTAGAAGAGAGAACAGGTGAAGTACAAACCCTAAAGAAAGGCTATGAGAAGAGAGAAAAAAATAGAACACCATCTGAAGAAGCAGTTTGATGAAAAAATTAAAGAAGTACATGAACTGAAACGAAGCTTGGAAAAAAGAGAGCAATTAGAAAAGTTAATGGAAAGGCAATTGGAAGAAAAGAAAGGAGAAGTTCAAATGCTCAAGAGAAGCCTGGAAAAGGGAGAAGAAATTGAAGAGCTTCTGAAAAATCAATTGGAAGTAAGGGTTAAGGAGACTCAAGAGCTAAAAGAAAACCTGGCAAAAGGGGAAGAAAGAGAACAGCTAGTGAACAGGCAATTGGTAGAGAAAACAGCTGAGGTACAAGAATTCAAGCAAAACTTGACAAAAAGAGAAGAAATGGAACAGGTCATGAAAAGACAGCTCGAAGAAAGAACAGGAGAGGTACAGGAACTCAAAAGAAACCTGGAGAAGATAGAGGGTATAGAGCAATTAGTGAAAAGACAGCTGGAAGAAAGTAATATTACCATCCACTTTCTTCAGAAACAGTTGCAAGACATTACCAGAGAAGAGCAGTTACTAAAAAGACAACTGGAGGAGAATGAAAGAGAAAGGCAAACCCAATATAGAGAACTGGAAGACAATTCTGAGAAAATGAGGTTGATGCAGAGACAGTTACAGGAGAAAGATTCATCAATACAATTGTTAAAGAGACAGTTTATTGACTTAGGAGAAAAACATATTCAACAAATAAAAGAGCATGCAGCCGAAAATAATGATCTGCACGCTCCAACAGCAGAGTCAACTTCACTTAAACAACAACTCCATGAGATGTCTGAACAAATAGAGAGTCTGAAGAGCCAGATTCAGATTGCAGATGAGAAAGAAGAAAGTTTATTACGAAAGATTACAAATAGTGATGCCGACATACAATCTCTTCAGACACAGCTTCAGGATAGAGAGGAGGAAATTCAGTCTTTGAGGAGAAAGTTAAATGAGAGTGTTGGAAAACAGCAGTCACTACACAGAAAACTAGAAGAGGGTGACTGGGAGTTGCAACTGCTAAAGCGACATCAGGAAGAAAATGAAGGAAGGAGAAAGGTCCAACTGAGACAACTGGAAGAAGATGCAAGAGAAAGACAAGTGTGCAAGATAAAATTGCAAGAGAATGCTGAAGAAATACAAACCCTGAAACTACAGTTGAAAGAGAAAGAAACTTTTGAAACTGCCCTTAACAAACAAATTCAGGAGAGGTCAGAAGAAATAGATTCCTTGAAAAAACAGCTTAAAAAAATGTTTAGACGAAGCTGAGTCACAAAAAAGACATCTGGAAGAGAGAAGTGGGGAGAACTTTTTGCTTCACAGACGCTTGGAGGAAAGGGAACAGTCACTGAAGAGACAACTGGAGGAGAACGTTGCTGAACTTCAGTTCCTCAGGCGACAGCTTAAGGAGTTTGCTGAACAGGAGCACTCATGGAAAATCCAACTTGAAGAACATGAAAGAGAGAAGCTGTCTTTGAAAAGGCTATTGGATGAGAGCAACGACCAATTAATGGAAAGACGTTTAAATGAAAATGCACAGATCCAGCAGCTTAAGAAGCAGTTAGATGAAATAATTAGAAACAAAGAATCAGAAGAAACTAATGAAAGTAACAAGCAGTTACAGAATATAGAGTCAGATCAACAGGTGCAACAGAAAGATGAACAATCTCAATGTCTCCTCAAGCAGCTTCGAGTGAGCACTAAAGAAGCTGAAAGTTCCCAGAGACAAGTGAAAGAAAAGGAAGGAGAAATACAGTCACTAAGGAAACAGCTAGAAGAGTGCACAGGAAAGGAGCAAACCTTGATAAAAGAACTCAAACAAAGAGAGATATCAGAGCAGTCAGTAATGGTTAAACTAGATGAAAGCATTAAGCAGGCAGAACTTCTGCAGAGACAACTGTATGAAAGTTCTGAAGATGTTCAGTATCTTAAAAGACAACTAGAACATAGAACTGGAGAAAAGACAACTCACAAGAGAAAAATGGAAAACAAAATGGAGAGCTCTGATCACAATGTGGAACCAAGGAAAAAAACCCAAGAGGAACAAGTGAACCAACTGCTTGGTGGTGAAAAGCAATATAAAACAATTAGACAAGTGAAAGAAAACAATGTTTCTACAGCAGGTTCTCTATCTTCATTTCCAATGTTTCCTCCATCTACTCCAGTGGCATCTCCAGCCTCTGAATATGCCCTTCCCATTTCTTCATCACCATCGGAAACAACTTTATTACGACAATCTCCGGTATCAACCACAACGTCACTTCAAATGACTGCATCTCATAAGTCTGAATCTCCACCTCTAGTAAAACCTGCATCTGAAACTGTCCCTGCAGCTACTGAGTCCCCTTTGTCATTGCTTTTGCTGGAATTGCATGGTGTGCGCAGAGAGAGGTCAGAACTACAGGGGCGTTATGACTCCCTCCTCAGAGATTTGCAAAGACAAAAGGGAGCTAGAACGTATGCAAAGAGAGCTGCGCAAAGGCCGAAGTGCTATGAGGCTGTTGAAGCAAGAACAGCGAGAACTACAAGACAGGTAGGAAAGCAAAGGGACTGTTAAATGTTGCAGAAATGCTTGATTTTTCCCCAAAAATATACAAAACAAACTTTGTCATATGTAAATACAGGGAGAACAACTATTACCAAAATATCACAGCTGGAATAAACTAGTCATTCTTGAGGCAGTTGGCAACAAGTAAACTCTGACTTTTTTCTGGTTTTATATATATGGTATATGTAAATACCATTTTTCATGCTCATAACTTAGAGGATAAACTACTCTTCAGCGTAAGAATTAAAATGAGAAAGTAGCCCCATGTTTTTTGGATTGAGATGGTAGTTTCAACACGTATATCTTCTGTTTATGAAGGCTGTCCTGTGATTCTCACTTAAAGCAGAAGGCATTTGCTGGCTTTTAGCCCACCTTATCATAACCTGTTGTGTTACTTTTTTTGGTGTTGTATCCGATATGTGCAAAGAGAGATCACACAAAGTATAACTCTTAATAAAAGTAATGACTGATACAAATAACAAATATTAGACATTATAACAATAATACTTAACCACTTTAACGCTGTCCTATAGCAGATACTGTATACTGCTACAGGGCAGCAGGGGTGCACAAAATCACGTATATGTACAGTTGTGTTCAAAATAATAGCAGTGTGTTGAAAAAAGTGAATAAAGCTGAAAATCCTTCTAATAGCTTTTATTTCCATACACACAAATGCATTGGGAACACTACACATTCTATTCCAAATCAAAACATGAAGAAAAATATATCAAATTTGTGTTGTTCCTCTAAAAAAATTAAAGAAAAGTTAATATTAGACTGTTCAAAAAAATAGCAGTGTTTGTATTGTTCTTTACAAACTCAAACATTCACTATATAAACTGAAAAATGTTTGAAGATTTTGCTTTCCTTTGAATCACTTAATTAATATTTAGTTGTATAAGCACTGTTTCTGAGAACTGCTGTACATCTGTGTTGCATGGAGTCAACCAACTTCTGGCACCTGTGAACAGGTATTCCAGCCCAGGATGATTGGACTACATTCCACAGTTCTTCTCTATTTCTTGGTTTTGCCTCAGAAACTGCATTTTTGATGTCACCCCACAAGTTTTCTATTGGATTAAGATCCGGGGATTGGGCTGGCCACCCCATAACGTCAATCTTGTTGGTCTGGAACCAAGATGTTGCACGTTTACTGGTGTTTTTGGGGTCGTTGTCTTGTTGGAACACCCATTTCAAGGGCATTTCCTCTTCAGCATAAGGCAGCATGACCTCTTCAAGTGTTCTGATGTATTCAAACTGATCCATGATCCCTGGTATGCGATAAATAGGCCCAACACCGTAGTATGAGAAACATCCCCATATTATAATGCTTGCGCAACCATGCTTCACTGTCTTCACAGTGTACTGTGGCTTGAATTCAGTGTTTGGGGGTCGTCTGACAAACTGTCTCCGGCCACTAGACCCAAAAAGAACAATCTTACTTTCATCAGTCCACAAAATGTTGCGCCATTTCTCTTTAAGCCAGTCAATGTGCTCTTCAGCACATATCTGTTTTTCAACAGTGGGACTTTGCGGAGGCTTCCTGCAGATAGCTTGGCCTGGCTCTTCTAATTGTAACAGTACTCACAGGTAACTTTAGACCTTCTTTGATATTCCTGGAGCTGATTGTTGGCTGAGTCCTTGCCATTTTGGATATTCTTCTATCCATTAGAATGGTAGTTTTCGCTTTCTTCCACGTCTTTCAGGTTTTGGTTGCCATTTTAAAGCATTTGTGATCATTTTAGCTGAGCAGCCTATCATTTTCTGCACTTATTTACATGTTTTCCCCTCTCCAATCAACTTTTTAATCAAGGTACACTGTTCTTCTGAACAATGTCTGGAACGACTCATTTTCCTCAGAATTTCAGAGAGAAATGCACTGTAACCAGCATGTACAACATTTGCTGCCTTCCTTCTTTAAATAAGGGCAATAATTGCCACCTGTTTTTCAAAGAATGAATGACCGCACTAATAGAACTCCACACTGCTATTATTTTGAACATGCCCCTTTCAATTAGTGATTCAATTACACAGAATCAGCAGCATGCATGTCATGGCTGTTGGGTCTTTTGGATTTCTATTACTCTACTACACCTGTTAGTAAATTATTTGCCATGTAGAAATATAATTTCTACCAAAAACAGTGATTGATCAGGTTAGTGATGTCTGACTGCTATTATTTTGAACACAACTGTACGTGATTTTGCATTTCCAGGTAGGGGGCGTGTGCGAGCCACGTGTGTGCCCTACCTGCAGATGCCCCCCCCTCCCCGGCAGAGAGAGCCTGACACCGACCAACACCATACCCCCCTAGAGAGAGAGCCTGACAGTGACCAATAGCACCCCTGCCCCATCCTCCCCCCCCCTACACACACCCAAGAGAGCCTTCCACTAACATTTACCCCCCTGTGGCAACAGAGAGACACTCACCTTGACAGCTCTGAACATCCCCGAGAATGACAGTTGGGCTCTGCATACACCATCAAGCACCCCGCAGCCTCTCTCGTAACCCACCTGGTCCCCATGCCGCATATGTCCCTTCTTCCAGGAAGCAGTACTGCCCCCCTAAAAAATGCTGCCCTAGCCAAATGCCTTGTGGTAAATACGCTCCTGCCCGGCCGGTGATTACTTGCCGACACCCACTGATCGAGGAGCATTAACAACGGAGGGAGAGAACTGTAAGTAAATAATACAGTTCTCTCCCTTGTTAGCTCCTGCACACTGCTATGTATGGCTTTGCATAGTAGAGCCATGCAAAACAGTGTGCTTTACAGTGAAGCACACACACACAGCTTACAGTAAAACAGCACACAGTTAACCTTTTGATTGCCCCACACGTTAACTCCTGCCTGCCCAGTGCCATTTGTACAGTGTTAGTGTTTTTATTAGCACTGATCACTGTATTGGTGTCACTAGGGATGTCAGTGATACCAAGTCAGTTCCCCCAGTGTCAGAATTCCCACAGTTCCGATATAAGTTGCTGAGCACCGCCATTACTAGCAAACATTTTTTTAAAAATTAAAAAATCCCAGTATATATACCGCCATTTGTAAACTTTCACGTAAACCAATTAATTTACATGTATTGGGATTTTTTTTAGCAAAGAAATGTAGCAGAATACATATGATAAAATTTGATTTTTTTTTTAAATTTTCAAATACCACCATAAGAAAGCTCTATTTGTGGGAAAAAATATGTAAATTTCAATTGGGTGCAGCATTGCATGACTGCGTAATTGTCAGTTAAAGTAACGCTGTGCCATGATGCAAAATATGGCTTGGTCAGGAAGGAGGTGAATCCTCTGGAAATCAAGTGGTTAACTAAAGATGCTGTTTCTCCATCGAGTCCCCCATGATGGTATGGCATAGGTGACCACAGATGCATGCATGATTGCAATCTCTGAAGATGAGACTGAGGTCATACCAGTTTTGGCTGTGGTAATATAGACCTTCAATGTAAGGAAATAGTCAACTCCTAGTGCAAGCAAAATTACCTTCTAAGGAAAATGGCACATTCTTGAAAGGAGAGTGGGCTGGCTTGTCCATCTAGTTACATTCCTTTGGTATGAACTGATATTTAAGGTAACCAGAATATTAGAGGCTTCATTAGATATTTGTGAGGCCAACATTAATAAGGAATATGAAATATGCAATTTCCCTATCACCTATCTGGTTATAATTTTCTGCTAAAGTACTTAAAGCGGAGCTCCACCCAAAAGGGGAAGTTCCCCTTTAAGGACTGGTCCCATGCTCCCTGTTAAGGATTGGCACCTTTGGGGAGCGGGTGCCCAAAATTGACAGCTACCCGCTCCCACTTCTGCTGTAATCACTTAGGCGATCGGAAGTGGAAGTTGTCTCCCCCTCTCTCCTCGTAGTCTTCTGGGACATGTGAGAGGTCTCAGAAGACTATGGGACCATTCACAAAGCGCAGCGCTACTTGCGGCATGCGGAGTGAGCACCCGGCTGTGAAGTCACAAGCTGTTACAGCTGGGTACCCACACTGAAGATGCCAGCTCTGGGACCACAGGGCGACCAGTGAAACGGGCTGTGGGGGGGGGGGGGGGGCAAAGTGGGATCTAGGGACAGGTAAGTGTCAGTTTTTGTAGCTGCTGACTTTTTTTTTTGTTTGCACTGGAACTCCGCTTTAAGAGACATAAAGTTTCACATTGTAACGTTGAGAGTCTACCTAAAATATCCACTTATGGACTTACCTTTAAGTACACCTTTTTACGACAGCCATACCATGCAATCAGTGACTATATCTGTAATAATTTCAACCTTGCTAAAATGTATTTAGAAAACAGTGGTCAAACACCATTACCATTATAGAGCCTTCTTCACAGCATGCTGTAAAGGAGGTTCTATAGCCGAAACACATTGCATTTTGGACATTGTTCCTGCATGTTTGTAATCAATAAAGAGCATTTATAAGAAGATTTATACAGTTTTGAGTGGACACCAAAGCCAGACCACCGAACTTCTGTCCTTGTATGTCTAATATAGCAGTAGAGCTTGGGTAAGTTTTGTCTCTATGTTTTATTGTCTACCTTACCCAAGAAACACAGAGGAAGTTGCCAACTACTGTATGTATTGTATGATCAATTTTTGTAGTTTTCCTTTTCTGCTGATGTAAACTTTTGTATTAAATGTTGACTATTGGACATAATACTTTAACATTCCTATAATGAAAAGCATGTCTTCTTTTATGCAAGTGTTGATGCAATACAGTGTTTGTCTTGTCCATCGCAGAAGGTTCAGAAATAGTGGGTGCCAGTAGAATAAACAGAAACAAACTTTGCTAATACACTGTGTAAAATATTTTGTCATTGCATTTCAATTCTGGCAGGTTTTCTCAGCTTTCTATAGAAAAGGAGCAGGCACAGCAGGAGCATCAACGAAAACTGCAAGAACAAATGTACAAGGTACAAGAGCTGAATATTGAAAACCATAAGCTTCAGGAAGAGCAAAATAGGTGGTGAACGGTAAGATATGCAGAAAACCTTTCTAAATAAAGGATTGCAGGGTACAGTTTGCAGTTTAGAAGGGATTTAACATTATTGTACAGGATCCTAATAATTCAGGGATACAAGCTTCTATGATCCACAATAGAATGGCTCCTTCAGGGAAAGAAATTTCGAAGAAACTGGGTGTGGCTTAGCAGATTTGAATTCAGAATTGGTAAATACACTGACAACAGCACTTGCCTGCTGGTCTAATAGTCTACCTAAATTTCATGGCCGCAGCCAGGTTTAGGAAAGCCTAATCATTTCAATAGGCTGCCTTATATCCAAAAAACATGCAAAAGAAGTTTGCAACCCTTTTTAAAAATCATGCCACACCAAAATACACATTGCTTGGTGCGCATACTAGCAAGATGCGTAGGGCTGCCCTTAACTACTTCAATACCGGGCACATTTACCCCCTTCCTGCCCAGGCCAATTTTCAGCTTTCAGCGCTGTTGCACTTTGAATGACACATGTGTGGTCATGCAACACTGTACCCATATGAAATTTTTATAATTTTTTTCACACAAATACAGCTTTCTAATAAAACAAAAACTCCTGAAACATTTGAAAAAAAAAACGCACTTTTCTTCGTTTCTGTTATAAAATTTTGCAAATAAATAACATTTCTTCATAAATTTAAGTCAAAATGTATTCTGCTACATTTCTTTGGTGAAAATAATAATTATAATAATTGAATTTGTATTTTTTTTTTTTTCAAATGTTTCTACTTTTTTTTTTACGTTTAATGACATTTTTTTCTTTTTTTTTTACTATTTTATTTTTCAGCACACTGTGACCAAAGCAATACAATGTTACCATAGTAACATTGAACTACTCTGGGCAAGTTATCAAGATTTTGTTTTTGTAACACATTATGATTGCTAATACCAATGTATTTCATTGATGCTTGCAATCATTGTACTGAGTGAAACTGATTCATTCAGTCTTCTGTTGTGATTAGCTGTGATTGGGCAAAGGTGATCACATGATACAGATGGGCTGCTATTGGCCCTGTCTGTATCATGTGACTGCCTTGACCAGTCACAGCTAACAACCTAATTGTATATAATGGATGGCATGACAGGAAGCCATCCATTGTATACAATTGACATGTGATCTGCTGTGATTGGTCACAATGGTCACATGACACTGGCAACGGGCCGGTGTAGTGATATATCATCGGCTGTGTTCTGTGGACACAGCCAGTGACAGATCACGCCGCTGCGCGGCCGCGTGAGCGGCTCGTTTTGACAGGACATCATATGATGCCCAGTCACAATGGCGAGTGTCCCACCCGGCCGTCAATCTGCTATAGGCCAGGCGGGAAGGTGTTAATAACTAATGGCAACACCACGCGTCTGTTAAAGGGCTGAACGTTTTTTTGGGTCCTGGGAAAGTGTGTGATTTTGCACACGTTTCCACAGAGCAGTGTGAACATAGTCTAGCTCATGGGTATCTGTTAGTCTACTTGTACTGCAGTCTGTATTCTCCACTGCAGGTGGCGTTCGACTGCAGCGGCAATGCAGATGAGGGAGGAAGTTGCAAGGAACTGGGTTCCTCTATGATTTCCTCGGTCACACGGGGGCAGTTATCCGATTGGATGCTCGTGCCCCATGTGACTCTGGTGGCCCCCCCTTACCTGGCCACCCAGACTGCGTACTTTGATATGGATTTGGTTAGAATATTATGGGAACCCCAAACTATTTTGTTGCCATTTTTTAATGTCACATTAAAGTGTTACTAAACCCACAACAGTAAAATCAGTCTTTATATGCAGTAACACATACTTGTTATACTCACTGTGGAACCTAAGGGATTAATCCTCCACATTGGTTAAAAAGGCTGTTTGATCCTGTCTTCTCTGATCCTCCCCTTCTACTGTCCCCAATCCATCTGCTGATGATAGTACAGAGCTCTGCACATGCTCAGTTTAATGTGTATGGCTAGAGAGTTTGTTTTCTTTGGGAGGGTGCATGTGATCAGCACAGGGCCAATCAGCTCTGTCCAGACAGAGGGTTAGAGGGTATGCAGCCTCATAGAACAGTCAGAGCAGAATGAAAACTCCTCCTACAAGTTTCAACCCGTTGCTCAGCCACACACTGATAGATGTCACAAGACTGCTATATACTGCTGATGAGAAAAGGTATTTAGCTGTTTATATTTGCTAAAATAATTGCATTTCCATGTTGTGTGTACTGTGGGAGACCAGATATGGTGAATGCAGCATCATGGCTGTTGTAACACTTTAACCCCTTAACGCCGATGTAACACAAATATGCGGCCTCACAAAACTGGGCTTTTTTCTGTGGGACCGCATATTTGCGTACCTATTTTTGTGCTGGGAGTGCGCTGCACAGCATGATCCCAGCACAAAGACCGGGGTGTCACTGAGAGCCCCAGGTCCTGTTCTAACAATCAGGACCCAGGACTCCCAATTCCGTAACACATGATCACCGTGATCAGTCACTTTACAGCCCTCCCCCTTGTTTTTTTTCTCTCTGAATGAAGGACAGAGATACATTGTATCTCTCTCTCTCTCCTTGCGTAGAGGGGAAAAAAAACTGTTGAAAAAAAAGATAAATAATTATATATTAAAAAATAAAATAAAAAATACCTAGATCAAGGTTTGATCTACTTCAGTGCCAGGGTTACTGTTTGGGTCAAGGTCAAATGTCAGGTTTTTTTTTTTTTTTTTTTTTTTTTTATTTAATTGGTATCAGTGTCCGTTAGTGTCAGTGTCACTGTGTTTTAGGTAAAAAAAAAAAACTAAAAATGTACCCTATTGTTTCTGGGCAAATAACATACAGATATATGGTATCTCTGCGATTGTCAAGAGCTGGAAAATTATTTTGGTTTGTTTGTTCTTTGGTGGTAGGTTATGGTAGTAACAAGAAACACACAGCTAATTTAAAAAAAAAAATTTTTTTTTACTATTTTGGGCCAGTTTTTTTCCTTTGATAATAAATAAATCAGAAGATATCCATTACCATTTACCACCAAATGAAAGTCCAATTTGTCCTGAAATAAACAAGGTATAATTCACCTGGATGTACAAAGTAGTTGTGATGATATGTACGGTTTTACTAACACATGTCAAAGTTGCAAGATTGTGCTTAGGCTTTATTTGTTTTACCCTTTGGCAGGAAGGGGTTAAAGCACTACATTGTATTGCTGCATAACACCACAATGGCTTTAAGACATCCCCCAAGCAGTTTAATATAGGATTTGCGTATTGTCAGTGTTGCCATTTGAGCAACAGGAAAATATCTTCTCCCTTCTGAATGGTATTTTATTAAAAAATAAGTTTGCATTTGCACATGATCCCTGTGGCATTGCTCAGTACCTCATGCGCTCTTTTTGTTCAATAACTTTTTATTTTGAATAACAGAAAGGTATAAACGTTTTTTGGACGTCCCTGATATAGATAGACCTATTGACATAGCTCACTGTATATCAATTAAATCAGGGCTTTAAAACATAGGGATATGCATAAGGAGGTCATTCAGTGTGCTTATAGAAGTGAAAAAATCTTCCATATTCCTTAATACATAGCAGAGAGTAAAGAATAGCAGAAGAAAATAATAAAGTAGAAGGAAAGAAGGATTGGGGGGGTCGCCTGGAGTTAATGAGGGATTAATTATGTTAGCAACTATAGACCAATGAATATAGACCAATGAGCTTTTTCCAACAATAGCATGCCTGTTAGCCTTGAAAAGGTTTATAAAATAGTTAGTTTCACCTCCTCTACACTTTAGTGAGGTTCGCTGCTGAAACCTAACCCAGCCCGGGTTCCCTCATCAGTGGTACAGTATGGTCTGCTTTATACGTAAGACTATGTTTTAAGCTATACAGGCCACTAAATACATACAGTATACAGCTTCTGCACCCCCTTCCACTTGTCCAGGGGTGCAAAAAGGGAAAACTATGGAAAAGTTTCACAATTCCTGAAAGTAAATCCTCCATGTTACCGCAGATTGATCTGCCTTGAAGAAGCTCTGAAAAAATATGCATACTATCGAAAAGTTTTTATGTAGTATTTAAAAAAAACAATTGAGAGCGTATGAGGATAAGTAATTCTTAACCTGTTTTACCCATATAGGCTCCAGGAGGAACGGTCACGGTTAGAGAAGATTTCTAATGAAAAAACATCAGAGCTGAGAGAACTAAAGAGGGAGCTGGGAGCTGTCCAGAGAGAGAGCGAACAACTTGAAAGAGAGCGTATGGAACTGAAAGAGTTTGTACAGAGAATGGAGATCAGTAACACAGTGCTGACCGAACAGTGTCAGGTTAACTTCTCTTTATTGTTATCATTGTAAGAATACATGTTAGTGCTTCACAGTGTTGGCCGTGATAAAGAATACAACATTATGTAGGAGAAGCTGAAATTATAAGGACATTAGGACTGTCTTTATTATTTTATCAGCTCTGTTAAAATGTAAATTTTTACATCCTTGGACACCAGCTATAATAGGTCAAAATCCAACTCATTTTGATTACATTTTGATTGGCCATCCCTAGGAAATTGAAGGGCAAACTGCCTTGTCATAAAATTTGTGGTGGTAAAGTAGATATAATTGTACCACTCCAGCCAGCCAGCAGAATTGTTCAAATGGTAATAAAGCAATGCCTGGTACATGTACTGTATCTCTATTTTACCTCACTTTTTGACTTCAGTGCCAGGAAGTGTGGTTTTGAGAAAAGAAATGGCTTTTCTTAATGCTCTGTAGGCTCTCCAGACTGATGCTATTTTTTGCATGAGGTTCCAGTGGCCCATCCACAGGTTCACTCATGGCTCACCTCATTGCAGACCTAGGCTTTCTTCTTAGTGACCAGGACTGCAATGGACGAGCCTTCTGTATCTATCCATTAGCCCACACATTGTAATTGATTGCATATCTACCCATGTACACGTATACTTATTGTATGTCTGGATGCCAGCCCTGCAGATTCATTTTTGTTTATGCTATTCAGTGCTCAAAACTCCCCACAGGCATACACAGCCATCATAATCCACCTGTTGAAAATTGCTGTGTATAGTAACAGGCAGATACATGGTATAGTAATAGAACAGCTGTCCACTTATGATTTTCCAGTGTGGTGCAAGAGCCACCCTACAGTATATCACCCTGGGGACATCACTGATAATGGGTATGATGTTTAGAGTGTTGTGGCATTTGCCTGTTAGCCAACATAACAGTTTCTTGGTATCTTACAGGTGTTATCCCAGGTGAAATTGTCTCTTCAAGATCAGAATAACATCTTGCTGTCTCAGATTCATTCTCTAACACACGATAATCGTGATTTATTAGAGCGCAGTCTGGAAAGTGGAGCTTTGAGACAAGAGGAAGAGAGGCAATTCCGGTAATGTAAAAATGATTCTTCAGTTTTAGAAACAACTGACCCGCATTCTGACTAATACAGAAATTCATTCATTAACTCTTCATTAACATACTGTGTATATGAAAAAATGTTTTTTTTGTTGCGTATTTTAAAAAAACAAGCCTGCTGCATTTGGTGGGATTTCCATAGAGTGAACTTTCCACAGCAATTAATGGTACTGTGCATAAAATGAGAGAAAAACACAAGTAAAATGCATTACAAAGAAGTCAAAACCAATTTAGCCATGGGGCTTTTTTGGAGGTCATACAAACACAAATACACTAACCAGCTACTTTATTAGGTACACCTTGCTAGTGCCAAGAAAATATCCCCCACACTATTAGACCACCACAATCAGCCTGAACCATTGATACAAGGCAGGATGGATCCATGCTTTCATGTTGTTTATGCCAAATTCTGACCCTACCATCTGAATGTTGCAGCTGAAATCAAAACTCATCAGAGCAGGAAACAGTTTTCCAATCTTCTATTGTCCAATTTCGGTGAACCTGTACAAATTATAGCCTCTATTTCCTGTTCTTAGCTGACAGGAGTGGCACCCGCCGTGGTCTTCTGCTACTGTAGCTCATCTGCTTCAAGGTTTGATGTGTTGTGCGTTCAGAGATAGAATTCTGCATACCTTGGTTGTAACAAGTGGTTATTTGAGTTACTGTTGCCTTTCTATCATCTCAAATCAGTCAGCCCATTCTCCTCTGACATCAACAAAGCATTTTCGTCTACACAACTGCCATTCACTGGATATTGGAATTTTTTGGACCATTCTCTGTAAACCCTAGTGAAAGTTGTGTATGAAAATCCCAGTAGATCAGCAGTTTTTTAAATACTCAGACCAGCCCATCTGGCACCAACAACCATGCCATGTTCAGAGTCATGTAAATCCCCTTTCTTCTCCATTCTGCTTGGTTTGAACTTCAGCAAGTCTTCACCACATCTAGATGCCTAAATGTATTGAGTTGCCTCCATGTGAGTGGCTGATTAGCAATTTGTGTACCTAATAAAGTGGCTTGAGAGTGTATAAAATATATAAAAATCACCAACTTTATTTAGAACATATTAGAATAAAATGAGTTAAAAACAGAGAAATGCACCAGGAACATTTTTCCTACAATTTTCCACTTTTCAGTACATAATTGTAAAGATTCTTCATAAAGAAATCCATCAATAATTATACCATTCAAGAGAAAAAGATGGAAAACATCATGAATCTTAATGCATTTAGTGAACCATGGTTCACTTCATCAGAAGTCTGATCTTGCTGACAAGATGTGTGTAAATTAATATCAAAATAATAATTCAAATAATACATGCATAAAAGCATTGAATCACCCCTATAGAAAAAAGGGGGGATATAGCATGAACACTTACAGCTGAACGTAGTAGCCATGGTTCAAAAGAAATATTCTAAACATCAAATGGGACCCACAGATGGAGAGTCTGTTCCAGGGGTTGTGGAGATAAATTATCACATCAAAACCTAAGGAAAATTAATTTAAGCTAGAATAAAAGCAGTGAAGTGAAGTGAAAAAAAGAATAAGACTGAAAAGAGGGGGCAACATGAATGCCTCGAAATTAAGTGTATGTGAGCATATAATAAACTTAATAAAATGCTGAAAATTAATTGGAAGAATAAATAGGACCAATGAGTGATGGTGTATGAGAAGCCTTGTGTAGATTAGAGTTGTAAGAGGGTGAAAGAACACCAAACTGCCAATGTGGCCAAATACTAGTGAGTAAACAAGGCAACGAGACAGAACATCTAGGAAAAAGGAATTCCTGGATAGTTCTATTTCATTTTTTTTATTGTCATCATTTCTGAAAAATGCATCTATTTCTATGTGCAGAAGTATAAATGGACCTTTAGGGTATTGTCCACTCTTACTACTCCACCATATATTTACTGATGTAGAAGCACTTTTCTGCTCCTCAGGGATAGAACTTGCTCTTTAAAACTTCCCATGCCCCTTATTAAACACATTAGATTACATAGCAAATCTGCCAGTTATCAAATATTTTAGAACTAAAACTTATAGAATAAAAGTAGAAATTGAATACAACAAATGATCATTGTTTTTTTTTATTCATAGAGAGAAGCTAACAGAGCTTAAGCACGAAAAGCAAAAACTGCTCGATAAGATTATGGATCAGTACCGAGTATTAGAACCAGCTCCAGCAATACAAAGGTAATCCGAGTAGCAGCGGATCATAGCACAAAATGTTTATTATACCAAATTGAGGATATGTGTCTAAAATATGAAAATATGTATGGATGTGTTCATTATTACTTTTATGATATCACAATATATAGCAGCAGAATAATTTTCCATAAAGCATTATTTTGTATCAGACATTGAGCTCCAGGGTAATGACATTTTGGAAGAATGATGTCATCTCTCTGCTGCAGGCAGGAGAAAGCATTTCCTCAGTCACCTATAATATAGTAGATAAGTAAAGCAACATGTGTACACACAAACTAATACAATAAAGAATGTAGCGCTACTCCTTTAGGTGCAAACACACATATATATATAACAAATTAGTGATAAGTGAACACAAAATTACATCCAAAATTGTGATAGAAATATCAATTAAAAATAATTAGTGCTCATTACTTGAAAAAATCTGCAAAATTAATTCAAATAACCTAAAACATGTGAAAAAAAATCATTTATATATATATATATATATATATATATTCTGTGAATAAAAATCACACGTGCCTCTCGTCTAGTGAAAAACACACTATAACAATAAATAAAACAGTGCTCTCAAAGTCCAATCAATACTGATAGTGATCAAAAATTAGCAAACACTCGTGCTCTCAAAGTCCAAAAGCTGCTGGTAGTGACCCAAAAAATGACAGAAACTTGTGTAGGTATTTGTGTGCAAGTGAATATGACAATCCGACCACCATCTGGATAAGCCTCTCACCTTATCACTTCGACCCTTGCGGATCAAAGCGCTTAAGTGGATCCCTCTCATGGATCCTCCAAGTAAGCTATCACTCCAAATGCTGCTCCTTGTCGCACCCCAATACCTCAGAAATTAATACTCCACCAATGGCTCCTCTCCAGGTAAGATGTAGCATCAATCTCTCAAATAAGACATAAAATAGATCCTCCCATAGTGCAGTATGTTTTATTTGTCAAGTAGGGACTATAATAACAACAGATCTTCACTCACATAGCAGCCGATCCTGTCCAAAACCTCATGCTTTCAGATGAGGGCATGTATGTATGGGTGTACAGCTGGGTGTACAGGTGTACCAAGATGGCCGCCACGCCAGAAGTGCATCACTACGTCAGGCCGACACGTTGCGTCACAGTGTCATGTGACTTCCTCAGGGCCACTTATATCACTAATATATCTATTGCCACGTGCCACTTTTAAACATAAGAGGCTTTCATTGTTTTTAAATGTTAACAGCTGTCAATGCAGTCTGTAAAGTAAATGCAAAGCAGGTAACTGCCTAAAGAGGGAGAGGAAGACATATGGTCTGGGGCAGGTTGGTTCATGGAGAATAATTTATATAATGTACACTTACTGTATGAAAGCAAAGAAAAAACTACCTGCAGGGATGTAAATAATTTTTCAACTACAGTTATCATTTAACTATCCTTTTCTTCATCAGAGTTGCTGTATGGTTAAATTAGGCATGGTCATAAACATCCATCCAAAGGTAGGCCATTTACAGCTGATAATGAGTGCTATTGACCATCATTTATGCACACAGAGATTTTCCAGCTTGCAACATTAATGCAATGGGGTTGATCCATTCATATTCTGAGTGAGGTTGCATCATCAGCCAGGTCTTACAGTACAATGCATCTGGTCCAGTCGCTTTTAAAGCAGCTAGATGTGTCTCTTGTGCCATCATTCTTATGAAGACATCTGCCTCTCTATGCCAGTTCTTATATCCAGATAACCACCATGTATCTTTCACCAAGCAACTGTATCTGAAAACTAAAAGTAATTAGATGTGTGGCAAATGGGAGTTAATTGGGTTTTTTTTTTATTTTAGTCATAGGAGAGGTAACTGGATTGCAGATAAAATGAAGAGGCTTCTGAAGACTAAGGACAAACCTTCAAAAGGACCTGGAGAAGCCTCTCGCTTTCTTAAACCTCCTATTGAGCCTGTGATAGAGCCAGAGAGTCCTTATAAAGGTAAGTATCAATTGTTTTAATGAACATTTTATGCTTATTTAATGTCATTTTATGGTACATAGGAAAAAAATACCCAGAAAATCAGTTTAATTTATCTGTCACAGGGTCAGGCTGGGTGTCCAGTAGCTGAAACGGCAGATAAGTTCACAAGCTTGGTTTGGTACACAAGTTGTATAGGCGCAAGCAGAAACATAGTCAGACATCAGGACAAAATCAATAGACAAAGGTATCAGGTTTATAAGGGAGAGCGACAAAGAGTAGTTGGTGAATCTGCAGCCAAGGGTTGATGCCCAAGTAGTGGTAGCAAGATACAAACTTAAGAACATAAATCTGTAAGTATGGATGCATAGCTCAAAGAGGAGGTCCCTCTCCAAAAAAATGAAAGTCCTTTTTATATAAGGACACTTACTTGTCCAGGGAGCCAGTGCCGTCGTCACCCAGGCTAGTTCTTCACTAGCCTATGGGTTCCTGTGCCAGCATTGCAAGTGAGGGAAACCAGAAGTGAAGCCTTGCAGCTTCATACCTGGTTTCCTACTGTGCATGCATGAGCAGGCTGTGCCTTGATATTGGTCCCACAGTCTTCTGGAACCTGTGAAGTGTCCCAGAAGACTACGGGGGTCAAGGGGGGCCAAGTACCTGCTCCCTCCAAAAAGTGCCAAATGTGTCAGAGGAGGGGGGGGGCAGACAAACAGAGCTTCCCCTTTTGGCTGGAGCTTCACTTTAGATAGGAAGTTGAAGGGAAGAGAAAGGAGTTCAGCAAGAAATAGGGTATCAATGAAGACTGCCCAGGAGATTGGACAAGGAGCTATCCAGCACTTTAGGTGGCTTAGTAGGAGAAACCACTAGCAGACACAGCAGAGACCCTGAGTTTGGATTCACATCCTGACATTAGCATCATGTTAACAGTTGATATTTGTTTGATATCCGCAAAGGTAGTTAAAAAGTAATCATAGCTGCTAAAAATAACAAACAATTCTCCACCAGTATACATGTGAAGTTAACTATCATATATTCACAGCTGTTGAGATTTAAGGACAGGTTTTGGGGAAGACTGCTGGAGGAGTATATACTGGAGGGCACTTTTCCAAAGTCCTTTGTCTGGAGAAGGATCTTTTTGTTTCCCTCACTGAGGATCTATCTGCCTGTGGAGGTTGAGTGGCAGACAGATAAAAGGACATTGTGAGTAAAGACCTTGCTGGACTTTGGGTGTACTTGTGCTAGAAGGGATCTAAGAAGTGATCTAAGTGTCAGAGGTTGCTACATGGACTGGGACTGCTCTGATGAACTCCTAGATGTGCTGAACTTTCCTTGTTACATCCAGGAGGGACTGCTGCAAGACAATTCATGAGATGCTTGTCCTCCTGTTATAGCTATTGATCAATTTGGGGTGACTATGCACCCCTCTCCTGTAGGGGTTCCTTTAAGCAGTAAATGCTTAAAAGATATCCCCTACCCTGTGTTATTGGAGCTGGTAGGAATGAACTGGTGCTTGCAGTGGTGGGTAGTCTCTGTATTTTTAAGGAAGAACCAGTTGTTACCAGCGGCTCCTTCGAGGGTAGCTCCACAGTTAGAATGACACTTCTAAACATCACTGTACTAGAAAAAGGTCAGTCTACCCAAGTCTGATATTTGGGTTAATTTGCAAAAGCTGAATTGCAAATTTACTTCTTCACATGGTGCCTTGCACAACAAGAGCTTTCTATTTGGGCATCAAGGTGTGTCCACCTACCAAGCAATTACAAATGTCTTCCTCTCCATAAAGGATTTTAAATTATATTACAGGACTGAGAATGTATAAGCACAGCGAAACTCAATGACAATATGAGACCCAGAAACCAATTTCAATAAGGAGACCTGCTTACTGGGCATGAGTTTTGAGAACCCAGTAGTTGTTTCAATACCACCAGCATTCACCCATATTTGAAATATCTGTTTTGGAAAGTTTTGTTTTATTATTTTTTTTTTTTAATTTTGAAATAAGGTATTTGTAACCTAAGTCCAACAATGGGTTATTTGTCGGTCTGCCTTGTGTAACCTTTATTCATAAATTGAGAATGTACACATTGTAAGAAAAGGGGGATAGGGAAGAAGTACAAGTACATGGGAAATAAAGGAAGGGCGAAAATAAATGTACACAAATATGAATTACATAAACAGTATGAATGCATAATGTAAATGTGGAAGCATGGACTCCCTTTTTGGTTCATCTTATATAGTTACATAGTTAGTCTGGCTGAAAAAAGACAAAATTCCATCCAGTTATAATCCTTTACCCACAGTTGATCTAGAGGAAGGCAAAAAAAAACCCAGCAAAGCATGATCCAATTTGCTCCTGCAGGGAAAAAAATTCCTTCCTGATCCCCCGAGAGGTAATCGGATATTCCCTGGACCAACTTTACCTATAAATGTTAGTAACCAGTTATATTCTGTGTATCTAAGAAAGAATCCAGGCCTTTTTTTAAAGCAATCCACTGAGCTGGCCAGAACCAACTCTTGAGGGAGTCTATTCCACATTTTCACAGCTCTCACTGTGAAGAAACCTGTTTTTGGAGATTCAATTTCTTTTCCTCCAGACGTAAAGAGTGCCCCCTTGTCCTCTGTGATGACCTTATGATGATCTTGGAGGAAAGCTTTTACCTAGAGTTTCCTCTACAGTTTACACAATAACATATATTAGTGCTAACAGTTCCATAGGCTTTTGCGTAAACCTGTCACAAATCTGGGCAATTTACCATTTTTGCTCATTTATATTTTTACACTTATATGGATCAGAGCAATTTTTACATTTCCACTGGAGGTCTCTTTATTTGAAAATAGGATTGTCATTATTACTTAAAGTGGTATTAAAACCAAAGTAAAACTTTTATCCAAGCTGCAGCTCACCAATTCGTAGGTGTGGTGGCTGCATTAGTTTTCTTTTTTTTAGACTTTTTTCTGTTATTTTCACCTGGTAATACAGCCAGTAAGTCTACTATTTTCAACTTCCTTTAACAGACCAAGCTGTCCAGACAAAGCAGCAGTTAGAGGGTTAAGACAAATCAATTAACACTGACAGGGGTGCTTACAATGGTCATCTTTTGTTCTTTTTTGTAAAACCTTTACCCTAAAAAGAAAAAAATGTTTCTGCAACTGCTTCAAAAGCGTTAGCTGGAGTTCTGCTTCAATTTGTTAGCCTACCACTACCCTCTACCCAGACTGACATGCTGTCCAAAGATGTCTGCTTTACTACTTCTGAATGCAGACACTCTAAGACATGAAGTGTGCTACTGGCTGGATTACCAGGTGAAATAAAGACAAAAAAAACTAATGCAGCCATCACATCTAAGGATTGGTAAGTTGCAGTATATTACATTTTTGTTATGGGGTTAATACCATTTTTGAACCAGGATTCTTAGGAACCCTAGGGTTCTTTCAGAGGTTTCTAGGGGTTAAACAATGGGAAATGTTTGCCTCTCGGATATGTAATCACTGATAGCAATCAGTAATTATATTTTTTGAAATGTATAATAGGAGCAATCTTTCCACTGACCAACAATGTAAGGAAACATTTTCCCACTGGTCACCAAAGTAAGGAGCATTCTTCCCACTGACCACCAATGTAAGCAACATTTTTCCACTGACCAAGAAACAGAAGGAGCATTTTTCCTAAGGACCACCAGTGCAATGGGGCCCATCCCTCACTGACCAGCAATGTAAGGAGGCCATTCTCCCCTAACTACCAGTGGTGTATTTAAGTTTTGTGCTGCCCTAGGCAACAAAAAAAAATCGCCCAACCCCCCCCATCCACTGCAGAGAGTGTCTGACACCGACCACACCAACCCCCCACCCCACCCCCTGGCCGAGAGAGCCTTACACTGCCCCCGTACACCCGCTACCATGTTGCCCCCCCACCCAGCGAGAGATAGAAACACCTTTGCAGCTCCGGACATCCCCGGGAACGAGAGTCGGGCTCTGCATACAGTCAAACAGCCCACAGCCTCTGATGGATTTCACCTGGTCCTTATGCCCTTCCGTGTCCCTTCTTTCGCTGCCCACTGAAAAATGCCACCGTAGGCAAATGACTTGTTTGCCTTGTGGTAAATACGCCCCTGCTAACCACTAATGTGAAGGAACTTTCCACTGATGTCTGGTGTAAGAGGAAACTTCACTTACCACCATTATAGGACTTTGTTCACATATAGGCATTTTGAATCGTGGATGCAATTCTTCCTGCGATTTCAAAACGTACTGTTAAAATGTAAAATCGTTCATCAGTGTGTTCAGTTGCCATTCATTTCAGTGAACCAAAACGTCTTTTGGGCAATACGCATTGTGCGATTTTGTTTGCGTGATTGTTGCAGAAATATCATGTGGCATTTGCGGCAGAATCGCTCATTTTCAGGTGCCATTGAATTTAATGGCACCAGAACACGCTGATGAGTGATTTCACATTTTAACAGCCCACTTTGAAATTGCAGGCAGAATCGCGGAGATTCCACCCATGATTCAAAACGCCTATATGTGAATGCACTTTTTTTCTGCCCTTTATTGTTTTCCTTTCATTATCCATACTGCATTCCTTATTCTTTGGTTGAATTTTACATTTCAATTTATTCATGCTAATGAAGATATAGTATTGCCTACATTGTACACTGTTCATGCTAAGCAGTAGATATAGAAATTAATAGCAGGGTTCCCCGTTATTAATTTTTGTCACTGTTAACAGAAAGGCTAAATTAAAGTGTAACTAAAGGCAACATTTTTTTTTAGTTTTGTATAGGTTGAAAATGGATTAGAACCTCTCCCAGGGGGTTTTCTCTCTTTTTATTGCTGTCTAGGCTCCAATAGGGAGATTCACCTTCTCCATTAGGCCTGTTTACCATTATCATTGAAAGTGAAAGATCCCTGATATTTCACCAAAGTCCCCCAATGGGGCTCCTAAAAGAAATTGTAGAAAATTATTCAAAACAATATTGTAAAAAATAAAATTAAATGTGGTAAAAACTGCCAAGGTCACACAGGTCGCACTTGTGACTGGGTTCTAGGCGTTCTGCCACCAGGTTTCTTGGGAAATGCCCCAGCCGGGGGTCAGGGGAGAACTTTATGGTTTCTTGCCCCAAGGCCCTGAAGGTTTTAGTTATGCCACTGAGTTAGATGTAAATCTTGAGTAAAAGTTAGATTTTGACCACCCTTCTGTCTCCCAGGTCTATTGGTAATGTGCAGCCTCACTGATGAATAGGGATGCCTGGGAGGTTAGATTGGTGGGTTCAAGCTTGACTTTCAGAAACAGTCAAGATATACATTTAGCTTCAGATGCCTACATCTCTGGATCTACTATCTATTTTAACATGTGTTTCATTTAAAGTAACCCCTGCTTATTGTGATTTTCATTGTATTTTACCTTCAGCTTGAACTCTCAAGGCTTGTTATGATCTATTGTAATCTTTAGCCCTCATGCACACTTGACGTTTTTACAGCTGCTGTTTTTGGCATTTGACGTTTTTTTTCAAACTCCCCAGCATGTTATTCTATGTGTCCATGCACACATAGACTGTAATAAACATTTTTGGCTGTGACATTTTTTGGCAGGAAAAAAAACTCAAAACTAGTGGGTTTCTAAAGGAGTTTTTTAGCTGTAAAAACACTCTTATGCTGAGAAACATGGTAAAACGCCATAAACCAGCATTTTTGGACTTTTTTTTACCCCCCCATATTTTTGTTGGTAAAAAAAAATCGTTAAAAAACGGAAAATGTGTGAAAACGCTGCTAATCGCGGCAAAACTCTGCTAAACACTAATGCAAAAAGTTAAAAAAGAAGAAAAACTCACGCTTTTAACACGACTTTACACAGCTAACGTTACCAGCGTTATCAAAACGTCCAGTGTGCATGAGGGCTTAGACTTCATGCACACTTAAGCTCAAAAGGGTCTGTTCTACAGGCATGTGACATTTTTTTTCTTCCTCTAAACACCCCTCTATGGTAGCCATCCATGCACACATAAGCATTTACAGGTGTTTAGAGGCAGAAAAAAAATCACTTGTTCATTTAAGAGAGGAGCGTTTTGGTAAAAAAAACAACTAATGTGCCTAAATGTGGGTAAACGTATATAAATGTGCCTAAGCACTAGGTGCATTTAGCGCTTGAGCATTTTTTTTTATTTCAATGGCAGGAATAAATTAATATTCTTTCCAATGAAATAACTAAACACCAGAGTGCTTGGTGCTTGATGTGCCTAAATATGCTTAAACAAGTTTGCAAAAATGCGGCCTCGTCACATTTTTTAAGCTGCTTTTCTCGTGGAAAAACATGTTTATAAAAGCCTCAATGTGCATGCAGCCTTACTATAGTGATCTAAAATAAGTAAAGGAATGCGCTAAATACCCGTCCTACGCGTTTCGTCATCCGACGTCTTCAAGGGGCGGGGCTTAGTGGATGGGACATCAGGACGCTCCTCGAGACTGTCAGCTGTGATCGCAGTGAGCAAGACTCATCCCTGTTTTAGCTTTTTGAGACTGATATTGCTGTTATTGCTGGTGTCGGTTGGACACCTTTCTTGTGAGTGCATATTTTAGGCTACAATAAAAATTATCCTTGTTTTAATATACTGCACCATGATACTCTTCTTTGATTCCCCGAGCATTTCCAAAGTTATGAAGGCACGATGACCACTTGCAGTTAAAGCTGTTCCATGTGTGCTGATTTGGCTGATTGCAGTATATTGCTCCTGGATACTCCAACAGATCATCGCTCCCAGAGCAATTGCTATTTTTGCTGATTTATAATTTGATCAGCAAATAGCTCTGGTGAGTTTACCCATTTCATTCTGTGGTGGATTTTGCTACACGGTGTTTTTTTCTTGTTTAAGAGATTTTTTTAATCACTTATTTTGGTGTTTGGACTTATATATGAATTACGGACATTTATAAATATATTTTTTATTTTATTTATGTATTTATCTGCATTTTCATGTGATTTGGTATTTAGCGCATTCCTTTATATATTTTTTGTCACTTACCTTTTCTTTGGTTAGGTTTGCAGCTTTATATATAATTTATTGGCGCTGTGTCTATATATTTTACACTAAAATAAGTAAACATTATTTTAAAAAGGTAAATAAATGTTCACCAAATTAGCATTATCCTATCCTTATCCACCAATATTCTCATAGTTACATAGTTAATCTGGTTGAAAAAAAGACACAAGTCCATCCAAATCTCAAATATTTATCTCCTTATGAACAATCATGTAGATTGTTAACAAATTAAATATAACTGTGTTGCGCTAAACAATTAAAATCAAAAGTAATCTATGTCCACAGTGCAAAAATATACATTAATTAAATAACATAAAAAAAACTTATAGTAAAAAATTGAGCTGAATAATCCTCAAAATGTTCCATCCAACAATGTGCAAATAGGTGAAGCCACGCCTCTTCTTGAGATTTTATATACTGTATGTACTGCCACCGACAGCCACTTTACACCCAAAGTGATAGTAGAGTATTCACTTACCAACTTCCTATGACCCCCTTACAATTAAAGGGTTGTAAAGGCTCAAGGTTTTTTACCTTCATGCATTCTATGCATGAAGCTAAAAAACCTTCTTCGTGCAGCATCCCCCCCCCAATACTCATCTAAGCCCCCTCACGATCCAGCGACGTGCACTGGAGTCTCGGCTATTCTGGGAATCCCTCTCCTCATTGGCTGAGACAGCAGTGGGAACCATTGGCTCCTGCTGCTGTCAATCATAACCAGTGAACCAATGAGGAGAGTGAAGGGTCGGGGGGAAATGACACACGGTGCAGTAGCTGGGGAGTGCTCATGCTTGGGTACCCCCATAGCAAGCTACTTGCTGTGGGGAGCACCCGACAAGAGGGAGGGCCAGGAGCACCGGTGGGGGACCCGAGAAGAGAAGGATCCAGGCTACTCTGTGCAAAACCACAGCACACAGCAGGTAGGTATAGACATGTTTGTTATTTTTTTGAAAAACATATTTAAGCCTTTAGAATCACTTTAAGAGCAGTCATAAAGCGCTTGTGTAATCTCTCTGGACTTCTTGGTCAACTTCCAAGCCGTCTCACTCACATAAGTTAAAACACATGCGCATGTAAATATAGTCACCAAACTAGCATCAGCATCCACTTCCTGGGACACAATGACGTCAGTAGGAGGCTCCACCCAGTGCGCTTCATCATCAAAAGACGTCTTCCGGGGCAATGGTTATATTTCATTTGTATACATTAGAAGGGATATCTTCTTGTTTGTGTTTGCTGCTTATGGTGTTTTTCACAATATTTGTTTTTTGTCCACAAGTGTGCAGTTTTAACAAAAACATTGAAATTGTTAACAAACCAATTATACTTTTGTCCTCTTTAGGAAGTGAGGTAACTCTCCGTCGCAGTAAAAGTTCTGTCAGCGTTGACAGTCATTCATTTCAGATGACACCCACTCGGTTTCGCCGTGCTAAACTAAGTTCCACTATTCGCAGTACTGAATCATTCAATGAAGCAGACTCTACTCCCCGTGACAAGTTCCGTCTGAGGCGCAAAGCACAGTTCACGGAGAGTGAAGGGGAGGACACGGCATCTGAGAGACGGAGACAAAGTAAAGGAGAAGAGTCCAAAGAGGAGAGATTACCTGGAGGAACAAATCACAACTAAGAAAGCACTATGTATATGGTGTATGATGAGACTTTGAGGTTGTGTATATGTATAGATGTGTGAGAAACCCTTCAAAACTGAGAAAAGGGGAAAAAGCACAGCAGAGATTGTGCTAAATTTCATAGGTTACTTTTCTGTCAAGTTTCAAAAAGTTTTTAAAATGATAGTTTTTAACCTTATTTTCCCAATACGCAGACTATGTCTGAAAAGGACAGAAAAAATTTCATCATAGCATTTCTACAAAATAATCCATCAGCACAAAAGAGTGATTTTACTACTAGTCCATATTTCATACTTGCACCTTTGTTATTCCCGTAATGTATGATTAATTTAAATATAGTAATATTATATAATAGTAAATAGATGTATTTATGAAAGGCCAGAGCTTACACTCTTAAGCCGAGTACACACTCAGAAAATTGGATGAAAAAAAACACATTTGGAGCGATGGTTCAAAAACGTATTTGTTAGCACGCAGCTTTCAAGAGCCAGTCACAACAGTTCACATGAAAATTCCAGAAGGACAAAGCTTGAAAAGTTTTCTCATTATTTAACAGAACAAATGATTTTTGTTTAATTGGTATAGTAGTTCATTAACAATCGAGTGACCAATACTGCGCATGATTGAAAACTAGAGAACGACCTGGAATAAATAAATGACAATGAAAATAACTTTCGTATACAACAGAAAATGTTCTTAAACTCAAAAAAAACCCATTGTTTTCATGACAGAAATATGTTTAATAACAATAATGGAATGCAAATTCTAATTTTACTAATGTGCTTATTACATGTAATGTGAACATACATTACATCACTTCTGATTCCTTGCTGGTACATAGCTACATATATGGGAAGTTATATTTGATCTACGAAAATTTTCGTACCTATATTAGCACTCTCATTTGCCATATGAGACTAGCATGCAAAAAAAAACCACCTCACGATCATTCATCTGATCTTCTTATAGTCTGTACTAGGCTTTAAGCTGCCATACACCAGCTGCTGATCGATGCAATTTTTTTCAACATGTTCCTTCGAAAGATGTCAGTTGAATAATCGGCTTCTGTAAAGTCGAGGAACCCACACACTGATTGAAATGCGTCCGGTCAAGTTGGACTGGCCAAATTTCGGTCAGTGTATTGCCAGCTTTAGATTGCTGATTTGAGAAGCATGAGCGCTTTCCACTTCTGTAAATGCATTATGCTATTATTGTATTATAAAGATGTGAATAGATAGGCACTAAAACAACCGTGCATCAAAAATGAAAGCAAATCAACTCTCAACATCATCTAACAAATCCTATACCAAATATAGTGATATGAGTGCAGGTGTACCCTCTACAACATCTAACGAATATTAATCATCTAACAAATGATATTCCTATATCAGATATAATTAATGGTAAACACAATATATATGGTGACAGTTCCATGAAGATGTAGTTCCGTAGACCAAAAAGATGTGCACTTTCACCAGACAGTAAGTGAATTTCTCACTCACCAGAAACAATTGACCCTGGTTAAGGTGGTCAGGTACCGCTTTGTTTTAATGAATATTTGAATTCTGAATCCCAGGCTCTCCTTATAACAAAGGTGATGCTCCAAGCAGCTAGGTGGATGCAGCATTGGTCTCACCACCTAGATGCTTGCAGCATCACCTTTGTTATAAGGAGAGCCTGTGATTCAGAATCCATCCACCATTGGTATACTTGGAGTCTTGTGATCACCCAACTGGGGGCAATTATCTGATTTCCTGGTGATCGGGAGGTTTGACCTAGGAGGGGTCAATTGTTTCTGGTGAGTGAGAAATTCACTTACTGTCTGCACGTGGTGAAAGCACACATCTTTTTGGTCTACAGAACTACATCTTCATGGGACTGTCACCATATATATTCTGTTTATATATTGTGTTTACCATTTATTATATCTGATATAGGAATATCATTTGTTAGATGATTAATATTCATTAGGTGTGGTAGAGAGTACACTTGCTCTCATATCACTATATTTGGTATAGGATTAATATTTGTTAGATGATGTTAAGAGTTGATTTGCTCTCATTTTTTGATGCACGGTTGTTTTAGAATCCAACTATTCACGTCTTTATTTGTCCAAGTGTAACTCACTTTTTAGGGGTAGCTGTCAGCCTTTCTTTGCCAGCTTATTGCGGGCAATATCCATTACTTTTTGGATACTCAGTCACATAGGCACCACAATATTTCAGTTATTTATTGATTATTTTATTATACAATCTTTCATGGATAAGCTCTGGCCCATCAAAACCCAAATATTATTGACAGGAAGAGTTTTGGGGGCCCCAAAATGATACTTGATGTTTATTATCCACAAAATCATGTAAAAACACCATCATGTTTTGTAGCGCTATAGTGGCCACTTCCTCAGGATGGTGCATAGGAGACTAAAAAAAGAATATATGTGTACATACAGTATGTGATATACTGTATCTAATGCTTATGATCAAATCCAATTAATAAAATACAAATCTTGATGTATTTAACATAGTCTATCTTATTGTCACATTTGTTATTATGTGACCTTATATATTATTTATATATTATTATTTGGACATTACTGTAAGAAATATCATATATACTTTATAAACATATTATTTCATCAGTTTCTTATGCACTATTCTGTGTGAATAGCAAATATAGTGCCACGAAATGCGTTGATGGTGTTTTTATCTTTTACATTTGGGCACCTCTCCTTACACTACCTATGAATTTTCTGTGGCCTCAATTCCCCTTTCTGCAAATACACTGGGAACTGTACATTACAGTGTGTATGACCATCCAGACCACCCCATCTAGCATAGAGTGCTGTGAGTGAACAGCTATATTCCCCGTAGGATCTTGCACCAGGTTGTCTGACCCCTCATAATGGGAGCTCAGTAACCTCAAAGATGAGTACATCATTGCACTTTATCTACCATTCAAGTTATTTTTCCATAAGGATCACTCCTGTGGTCTTCTGCCTTTGTTTTTCTCCTCTCTCAATTTTTTCATTGGTACACAAGCCATGTGATTATTAAATATAAGTTCCATGGTCAAGGTCTGGCACATTCACTCTGGACATTTCTGCCTTTTCATTGCTTCCAAGTGTAAGAGAGGGACCCATTAGTCAGTAGGACGCTACACTGAGTGAGAGGAGATGTTTCCCAGGTCTACATAAATATTAAAATTTTGCATGAAATATGTGAAATTCTTAGCTATATTGAATAAATTATCATTTACTGTCTTTTACTTTGTTAGAAAGCTAAAAGGCACCATAACCACTAGTTTCCACTGATGATTACTTGGTGATGATAGAAAGACTTAAAATAAACTGTTTTACAACACCATGATCTTCCATGTTCATTGACAAATTCAGTTTAGGAGTGGATCCAGTGGTAATTGTATAGTCAGCTGGAGGGGGTGGGATAGAGCTTTAAAATTGGGGTTGGGGTAGGATTACTTTTTTTTATTACCGAGTGCCTGAGTTTATAGGAACAAACTTTACCCTTTAAACAGCTTCTCATGGTTCATTATGAGGATATCCACTATTTAATGTAAGTCATATATGCTGCTCAAAAAATTAAAGGAACACTTTGAAAACAATTCATATCTCAATGGGGAAAAATATAATGCTGGGTGAATAATAATAATAATAATAATAATTAATAATAATAATTATAATAATAATAATGGGGAAAATATAATACTAATATGGACTGGGTAATATGTTAGGAATGTAAGGATGACCCATCATTTGATGGAAATGAAAATTATCAACCTACATAAAACTGAATTCAAAGACACCATGAAAATCAAAGTGAAAAAATGATGCAGCAGGCTAGTCCATTTTGCTGAAATGTCATTGCAGCAACTCAAAATGGTACTCAGTAGTTTGTATGGCCCCCACGTGCTTGTATGCATGCCTGACAACGTCGGGGCATGCTTCTACTGAGATGATGGATGGTGTCCTGGAGTATTTCCTCCCAGATATGAACCAAGGCATCACTGAGCTCCTGGACAGTCTGAGGTGCAACCTGGGGGCGTCGGATGGACCGAAACATGATTGGATTTAGGTCAGGCGAACGTGGGGGCCATTCAATGTATCAATACCTTCATCCTCCAGGAACTGCTGCATACTCTCGCCACATGCGGCTGGGCGCTGTCCTGCACCGGGAGGAATCCAGGACTCACTGCACCAGCGTAGGGTCTGACAATGGGTCAAGGATTACATGCCGATACCTAATGGCAGTCAGGGTGCCATTGTCTAGCCTGTAAAGGTCTGTGCGTCCCTCCATGAATATGCCTCCCCAGACCATTACTGAACTACCACCAAAATGGTCATGCTGAGCAATGTTACAGGTAGTATAAATTCTCCATGGCTTCTCCGGACCCTTTCAAGTTTGTCACATGTGCTCAGGGTGAACCTGCTCTCATCTGTGAAAAGCACAGGGTGCCAGTGGCGGACCTGCTAATTCTGGTGTTCAATGGCAAATGCCAATCGAGCTCCGTGGTGCCGGGCAGTGAGAACAGGGCCCACTAGAGGACACTAGATTACATTGGGCCCTCAGGCCACCCTCATGAAGTCTGTTTATAATTGTTTTGTCAGAGACATTCACACCAGTGGACTGCTATAGGTAATTTTGTAGAGCTCTGGCAGTACTCATCCTGTTCCTCCTTGCACAAAGGCGCAGATACTGGAAAACGTGCACGAGCACAAAACGTGTTAGGGAGGAGCCAAGCCAGTGACGTCATGCCGCACAGGCCACGGGAAAGGCCGGCAGCCATCTTTACTATTGTTTCCATTGTCAGATGTGAATGCATTACCTTTATGTATATATTTTACCAATTTAAATAAAAAAATGACTGCACTGTTAGGCACTCTTTCTCTGGCTCGTTTATTTATGAGCCCTTTAAGGTGGATTCCTGGTTTCTCCTGTTGCCTAATACTGGTCCATTTACACTAGATGGGATTTATCCTGGAACC